GTTCAAGTCAAGAATCATGACAGATCTGGCCCACCACCCTTTTCCTGAAGCGCATCTAACTTCACAATACCGCCCTGGCTGTCCTGTCACAGTCCTCACTGCTTGGCAGGGGCTCTACAGCCCAGCCCTCCCCCGTATACCACTGCATTCTGCAGACGTTCTCTCTGAAAAGATCATTAATTCATACACACCCCTGATACCACTACAGGGTGAGACTGAGCACCCAAGGTGACCCGATGTGGGCAGACGGAAGAACCCCCATGCTCTAAGATGATGAACGGAATGAGCATTGCTCTCCTTGGGCGGCTTGACTCTCCTTCCTTTCTGGTACATTAAGGGTAAGAAAATCAATGTGCCAGAGTACATTTTTGTAGAAGTTAGTGGTTTAGAACTTAGGCTATTTTCAGTGGTTTATAACACAAGCATGCAACTGTGTATACCAGACTATCTATTTTCTTATAAAGCAAAAAATAAACTATTTGAACATATTGGCTAAGAAATGATTGCTGAAAATTATAGCCTAGAAATAAGTTTAATGAAAAAAATAGATGTGATGAACTTGAGTAAGATCTTTACTTGTTACAACATGCATTTTCTTGTATTTGAACTAGTATTGTCTATTGCACCACTTTGAATACTTTGTATGTATTGAATGTATGTTTGTATAATTATAAAAGGGGGGTTGTGGTACGGTAAACATGCTTACAAGTTGTGGCATAAAGACAGAAAAGTGAGAGTCATCATTTTTGACACAGAGGTTTAGTGTCCCAGTGCCAAATGAGTCTTAAATTCTTCTATTTCTAACTAGAAGGAATTCTTAGCAGACCAGGCTATTTCTCCTCTCTACTAAGTGGATCCTTTTGCCACATGGAAGAAGATTACTGCAAATGTAAGGAGTGATGTATTTGTTAACCTCAGGAAAAAAAAAAAATCCAAAACCGCAATAGTCTTAAATGGGCGCAGCGGTGTGCACCCTCACGCTCGGGCACGCTTTAGGTCAGCTGCACAGGCAGCAACGCTGACACACTGTGACCCATTTCCTCAGCAGCCACAGCCGCTCTTCTCCAGGTTGGAGTCCTCTGTCACAGCGGACAGCTTGTTGGTGTTCTTCTAAAGCTTTTGAGAGATTATTGCTCCTTTTCTGTTGTGCGTTTTGAGTTTCATGACAGGATTAAAGGGAGTAATGGGGCTTCAGGTCTTTAACTCCCATATACTGTATTCCTCATCATCTCTAACCTTTGTGCAATAAGGAACATCAAATAAATAAAAATGGGATTCTGGGTGACCCATAATGCTATCACATGCAGATAAAAGCAGCAGATAACCTTGAATTGTTTTTTTTTTAAATACACATACACACATGCACATACTTAACAACACTGCTTGTATTTAAGCATTTATCGTAGTGGCATATCTTGTTTTATAAGTGTTATTTTCTCATTAATTAATTAATCAATCAATTAATAATTGATCAACTTTTTGAGACTGGGCTTTATCACTTGGTAGCCCAGGCTGGCCTTAACTTCTTAAGTGCTGGGATCACAGCCCTGGGCTTGGAAGTGTTACTGTCCCACCAAGACCAATTTTCATCTTAGGTCTTGGGTGTGTTTTCATGTGCTTTTTGTGGACAGGTCTCCTTTCAGTTGGCTTCAGATGGTTTCTTAATCTTGGTTAATAGTGTCTTCATGGTTAAACTAATCAAAAAAGATGCCATCATTACAACAGTAGCATCTCATTTCAGGACAAAAGAACAAACTGAACCCTTAGCTGAGGTGACCTCAGGCGAGAAAACGGAAGATGACTCTTCCATTGTTCAGTTAGCTCACAAGGTGGCTTGTCAGACGGAGGTTGTTGGCTACACACTAACTGTCACTAATTAAATCCTAAGGCCAGTGTGCTCACGACATCGTTTCTAATTTGGGTGCCCCGTTCAGATTCTGTTCATGGATGTGTGTGCTTGCATGTGAGTGCTCATTCACACTTGCCCCAGCATGTGTGTGGAGGTCAGAGGATGGTCTTGAGTGTTGGTCCTGCCACTTGATGGGAGACAGTCTCTCTCTACTGCGTGAGAGACTACAAGGGCTTTACCTGCTGATCCATCTCCCAGTCCTTCAGAGTCTGGATTCTGAAGGTTTACTGTTTGTTCGTTTGTTTTAGCACATTCTATCCAGGATTGGAGGACAGAACATCAGCACTGATTTGGTATTAGACTTACAAAACAGAATGTTAAAGCTGTGGTTGGACAGAGGCTGATGGGCCTCGCTGAAGCGTCCTCTGGATTAAGACAGTTTGGCACTGGGTGATGTGAGCGCTTTGCTTTCTGCCGCCCCAGACACTCAGGTACCATCCCCTCATCTCCTCTATGGCTCCCAACCCCAGACCCCTGCCTAGGCCAGCCCTGGCCCCTTGCCACACCCCAGGACTTGTCTTTCAGGCCTTTGGATGCTATTCAACCTATCCCCACTCCACTTCTTATTTTTCTCTTTCTCATCTCCTTGTCTAGCATCTGAAAAAAAAAAAAAAAAAAACCTGGAAAAAATTACCCAAATAAATGAATGAATGTATTCTATATGTGAAGGCCCAAGTGAATACCTAGCTTAAATTTGACCTCCAGATTTAAGAGGGGTTATATATTATATATAGCTAGCAGACAGGAAGAAAACCTATGGTTTGAGTGGGTTCCTTAATACTGACAACAAAGGGAATTCTTTTTCATGCGGAGATGCGTATTGTGTGAATGTGAAAGTCATTTCTAACTGTGTAGAGTAGTTTCCTAGGCTGCCCTGCCTGGTGCTTTGGCTTGGTGTTCAAGGACACTTCCTTGATTTTAGAATTTCTGGCACACATAAGGCATGTCTGTGCAGGCCTGACTTCCTGTACATAGGCTGTGTTCCTGCAGGGAGGTTTTCTGGAGTGTGAGGTCTCCCTTTACTGGCCCTCACTCCTGCAGAAAAGCCAGAGCAGGTGAGCTGTTGCCTGATCGTTTCTTTGGTTCTAGCAGAGTTCAGTGGGACCTCTCAGAGAAGCCTCCCTTACCATGGTTTTCCCTGTGCCCTTCCCCAGCAGGCAAGTAAGGCAGGTGAGAGGCCTTCTCTCTGACAATTTTTTTTTTTTTGCTACGGTTTTGAATTTTATATCTTCTGCTTTTCTCTTATTTGCTTTATTTTCTGTCTCCACAGTCGATTTATTATGAAAAAGAACTTAGATCAAATCGATCTTTCTGTACCTCAGTTTGGAACCCACAAATCAAAGGCCTGACTAACTGACAATAATAATAGCATCTGCAACCGCAATCTACAGTATTCTACAGCTACAATCTCATTGAACACTCTCCATCATCTGCTGCAGCAGGCACTGTCTCAAAGATCTGTCAGTTGTCTATGTTTCTAAATTTAGTAGTAGGAGAAACATTTTAATTCTTTTTAAAGAGAATAGACACTTACTTAGGAGTTGCAAAATTGTGATCTGGGCAAATATTCGGAAAAAATAAAATTCTTGTATTCCCTTTAATAATTTAATTTGTTTTGTTTTGTTTTTGTTTTTGTTTTTTGGCCAGGGTTTCTCTGTGTAGGCTTGGCTATCCTGGAACTCACTCTGTAGACCAGGCTGGCCTTGAACTCAGAGATCTGCCTATTTTTCTTCCAAAGTGCTGGGATTAAAGATGTGCACCACCACTGCCCAGTGTCCCTTCAATAATTTTAACCATTATGTGGAAACAGCTAAGTGGACATTAGAAGCTGGGCGTATAGAGTCAGCAGATTCCCAGACTCTGGTAATGGTGCTGGTCTCCTTTACTCTATGTGGTAGATCTGCAAAGACTTTGTGTTCCTCCATGGACAGAGTCGGGGAAAGGACAAAGCATACTTAAAGCAAACTCACAGAAAAATGTGTTATTGATTTTCGAAACAAAGAAGCCTGTTAGATGGCCGTGAAGCTCTGTGGCTGAGGAGGACCTGGATTTGATGAGGACCAGCAACGGGCAGCTGCCCTTCACTAAGACTGAGCACCAGGTTTGGGGGAGGGAGGAGCATGCTGGCGTGGAGGGGTGGGAGGGTGTTACTGGGGGCAAACTTCTGTAAGGTATACTTGAAGGACGTCTACATGAGTCTCCTGGTGCCTGAATCTCTCTCACCGTTTACCATGACTCCTAAAACGCCACTTCTAGCCATCCTTGGCTTTGGACTGAGAAGGGCTTTGAGCCTCGGGAGCCATCTTGGGAGAAAGAGTGCCACAAACCATTTCTTATAAGGATTTGGAGACAGGAGTGAAGCTTTACAGGTACAGTAGAGGCTAGATAGATACCTGAAGTGCGGGGCGTCGGGAGCCAGGGCACTGCTGGGGCAGCAGAGGGCGTCCTAGCAACAACCAGACACAGACTTGCTTCAAAAGCACAAGACCTGTAGGAGATAAAGCTGGCCGATTCCAGCACAGATGGGGGGGGGGGGAGCTGTTGCTCCTAAGGCCCCACTCCGTACTGTTGGGCAGGGCGAGGGAGAATCACTCTTTTTTTTAAAGAGATGTAGCCACTGATATGTTTCCCAGTGCACATACTGGCAGCATTAATTAGACTTTGAAAAGAGGAAGAAGAGGAGGAGCAGAAAGAGGAGAAAGAAAGAAAAAGAACTAGTGATGAGGTTGGGCGGACAGATGTTTTGGGGGAGATATTAAGGAAGCTGGAGGGGGAAGATTGAGGGTGAATAGGATGATATTTCATCATATGTATGTGTGGAATTCAGCTTAGAAATGGCCTCTAGGAACAGTCACATCTGTACCAGAAATGCGTTTGTGGGTACATAACTGATGACCCGACTGACCCTGGGAACCCATACAGATGTAGACTGAGAGAACTGACTCTACAAAGCTACCCTCTGACCTCCACATGCCTCCTCTGTCATGTACACACACGCACGCACGCACATACACGCACGCGCACGCACGCACCCACACACAATTTCCGGGAGTTCTCCAAAATATCAAAGGTTTTTTAAAGACACGCTTACCCCATTTGAACTGTTGAGCCCAGAAATGAGGGTATACAGTAATCAGCAGCTGCCAGTGTGTACGGTGGCCGAGCCGCAGAATCGTCCCAGTAAATGTCCTTCTTCATCTTGGGTAGACTCATGTGCATTTCGTCCACAGCTAAAAGAGAGACCTAGAATCGTTGTCAGACTGTTAGAACTGCTCAGATGGAAGGACTTTCCAGCAGGTGGATGGGAGTGAGGGGACAATAGGACACGGTCTGAGGGAAAATACGAAAGCCCAAAGACAGACGTGCTGCATCGAGGCTGCTGCAGGGAGGTGGTCTTCCCTGTTCAAGAACACGGGGCACCGCTGGAGTGGAGCTCTGCAGCTGTGCACCTCTGTCTCCGTGCCCCAGTGTGGAGCTTCATGCCATCTGCAAGGCTCCTTTCTCTTAGTTTCTCAGGTACAGCACTGTCTTGATGGCCCCGACAGCTGCTATTTAACGCCAGGTAGCACAGAGAGAGGAACGTTCTTAGTCCTTCTTTTGTAACCCTAAAAACACACCTCTACCTTCTTCTACTTCTCATAGGTCCCATCTTCATCTTAATCTTCCTTCCTTCCTTCCTTCCTTCCTTCCTTCCTTCCTTCCTTCCTTCCTTCCTCCCTCCCTCCCTCCCTCCCTTCTTCTCTCTCTCTCTCTCTCTCTTTCTTTCTGTCTTTGAAACAGGGTCTCAGCATGCATTTGAACTTGTAATTCTCCTTTTTCAGCCTACCTAGTCCTGAGATTACAGGCCTATGCCACCAGGCCTGGCTACATTTGCTTATTTGGAAAAGTAGTGTATCAATAGACCTGTGTTACAGTGATGACCTCTCTGTCTTGGCTTAGACACAGTGACAAATAAACCATTAAGCCTCTGGGAATCCAGTTTTGACAGAGAGAGAAACATTATGCTTCTTCCCTGACAGACTGGCAGGGCTTCAAACAGATGGATGGAGTGAAAGCCGGCAGACAGAGGTTCTGAAGGGAGCCCTCCCTAGAAAGAGAATTCCCTCATGCCTTCATGGGCAGCCTGCAGGAAGAGTGCTGCTTCGAGTAAGGGGAGCCATTCATGACGGCAGATGTAAGAAGGAAGCCAGGGCAGCCTACATGGCTGATTCCTGGGGGCTCATGGGCTATGGTCAGCAATTCACAGCAGATTACATCTGGATACCACTTTATGACACTGGTACCACTTTATGACACTGGCAATCTCTCTGGATGACAAATCAAAATTGGTGAGAAAATGAAGTAAAATATTGCCCTGCACTGGACAAAGAGGACAGATGATGCAAACAGAAACTCACAGAGTCAATTGCCTTGGCTTAATTGCATGGGGATGAGATCCAGGCCCATCCAGGTTCCAAAAGGAACACGGCAGTGCACACTAGGCTTCTTCCACGTTTGGCTAAACATCAGGGTCTGTCTACAGGTAATTTATTATTATTCACAAAGAACAGAAAAGTTCCTCTAACCTGCAGGTTTCTGTCAATGCACCAGTTCGTTTCAAAATCATCATCATCTTCCCCAAAAGGGTTGATCAGCTGCTCAGCAACCTGCAGTTGAGAACACAGGGTAAAAGGACATAGCGCGAGTGAAGACAGAGAGACATGTAGGCTAGAGGCTGACTCTTGCTTTAGTCAGTCCTGATCTGTTGCTCTGTTCATGGGTAGCCTACAGGGTAGTGGGCTACTCTACAGGCATTTATCAGTGAGTGAGCCCCTTCAGAGGCACGCTCAGCAAACAGACCTGCCTGCTTATCCAGACAGTGCTGCCCTGCCCCAGGGAAGCCAGGAGCACCACAGAACCAACGCAAACCAGTGAACACAGAAGGACCATCAACTACACGCAAGGCACTTACCCTGGCTGAGCGTTCAAGGCACCTGTAAAGGCTCAGTTGATAGCATGAGGTTAAACAGCAATGGAAAACAGATCACAATTAAAAGCAATAAAAGACAAGCAAGGTACGTTATGAGACATAACTGCCAAGTGATTGCACTTGAGACCTGGAGTCAAGCTGGAACCAGGGGCTTGCCTAGTTTCACGGGAAAGAGTTACCCTTATCTAATAGGTCTGTTATCCTGGGAGACGGTTATCCTTTTGGCTAGCTAGCTGGTTAAGTTAGCTGGTTTCTGGTTAGATATATCACCTAGCATTTGATCAATATTAAATTTTCTCACCATATTCCTGAATAGAATGGTCTTTTAAACAAGAGCCTTAGATGTCAAATATAACCTTTTTGAACAATGTTCTTTGGTTTCTTTTACTTATGTGTGCATGTATGAGCATGTATGCGTGCATGTGTGTGTGTGTGTGTGTGTGTGTGTGTGTGTGTATGTGTGTGTGTGTGTGTGTGTGTGTTTAATCAGTTTCTAGGTTCTGAGACCATTCGGAAGAAACTCTACCGACTTGGGGTTGAGGAGATGACTTAGTATGTAAGGGTGCTTAAGCTGCAACCACAGGGACCTGAGTTCAAATCCCCAGAGCCCCTGTAAAAATCCAGGCATGGCTGAGCATGCCTGTAACAGCAGCAATGTAGGTATAAAGATGGGTAGATTCTGAGAGTTCTCTGGCCAGCCAGCCTCGTGAAATGATAAGCTCCCTGTGGAGTGAAAAACCCTGTTTCAAGGCAATAGGGCAGAGAGAGACAGAGGAAGAGGGAGACACTCAAGCTTGTGCTCAGGCTGGCCTCCACATGCATTAAGAAGGGTGCACACCCCTGCACATTCATGCGTATGTACCACACATACTAGCACACGCACACAGAGCCACACAGAATTTAAAAAAAAAAAAAAAAAAGGAACTTTTTCCTTTTGGCACTCAGCATTTAAATTAAACCACTCAGCTGCCACTTCCAACATCCGGCTGTGCATGAGAGCCACTCCCTGAATTCAACAGAAGAAAAGAGAACCCACCTTCAGCAAATGCCTGGGTTCCTCCCCCAGACACCCTGATTTACTCAGAGGCTGAGCCCAGGCAGCAACACCGAATAAAGCTCCGAGGAGACCTTAGAGCATGGCCAGCCTGGAGAACCAGGGGGCTGTAATGGGGACAGCCTGGGCAGAGCCGTCCCTCTGGGCAGAGCCGTCCCTCTGGGCAGAGCAAGCCTCCCGGGAGCAGCTGGGAGGCTCCTTCAGGTGCTGCATTCCTTTTCTGGCCTGATGTTTTGCTTAGATTAAATGGGCCATTATTTCAGCCCTAAAAATATTTTTCTTACATTCATATTTTTCACTTTTATGGCCTCAGTTTTGCATATGTTACTGCAGACTACATTTAATAGTCAAAGTGACATATCAGCGCATTGTGTGTGTCTTGAAGATCACTTCCCTGGAGGGCACCGTTTGCAGTAAAAGAGATAGAGATATGTTTTCTACACTTGGGATAGAGCAGTTCTTTGGAACTAGAGACACAATCCACTGGTGTGAGAACCACCCACACTGGCTTATCTCCAACAGAGCCACACTTGTTTCTCTTCATATTTGGCCTTTTAAAAACAGTTTAGAGAGGGTAGGGATTTAGGTACTTCACCAAAAAAAAAAAAAAAAAAAAAAAAAGGAGCCTTTAACCTCTTCATGGCGCAGCTGAGCACTTTACGTGGACACAGAGCAGACAGACCATTGAAATTAAGCAGGGGCGGTGGGGAGAGCGAAACAAGACAGAATGGAAGAGGAGGACGGGATGGTTGAGCGTTTGGATCAACTGCGGTGACTCGATGTTGAAAACAGTAGCGCCCACTTTCCCTCTAAGAGCCACTCTGTCTCTCCTGCTCTTTCTCACTCTGAGAAAGCAGGTAAAGATTATTACAAATCACCGTCATCTGGTAAAAATATATTTGCCATTTAAAGGACATGCTGTTTGTCACTGGAGTATAATTTAAAATGCCAACATACTTATGAGATTCAAGTCAATAAAAGAACTGGAATTTTCAGGGAATGTGTACCAACCCAAAGGCCTGAGCACAGGTGGCTGTTGGGAAGGCCAAGTATTTAGAAATTTTTGTTTTGTTAGCCTTCTTGAAAGAATCACTGGATTTCACTTTATAGTTTCAGAAAACTGTTGTCTTTGACTTTTTCCTGTCACGTACTTCAAATGTTGGAGAATCAGGCTTCTGACATTTACACACTTACATCAGGGGAGGGTTGGGAGTCGGGGGGGAGGGGAACAGTCACAGTTCCACACCCTTGACTGGACAAGATGTTTTCACTGCCCTGACGTACTTTTAGATTTTAGGCAAAGTAGATGCCATCGTTAATCCTGATCTTCCTGCTTTTAATCCAGATGAGCTTTTTTTTTTTTTTTTTTTTTTTTTTTTTTTTTTTTTTTTTTTTTTTAATGGGATGCATTTAATGTATGGGACAGCTAGTTAGGGGATTGCAAATAATGATTTACAGAGTGGAGCAGAACCAAGGGTCTATTACAGTATTAAAGCTCAGGTCTGCTCTCAAAGGCTGTTTCTCCACTATCATTTCCTCTGCCCAGTTGTGCCTAAAGACCAACACAGGCACAGCTATTACTTTAATTACATTACTGCAAGCCTAGCGGGAGCACACAGAGACTTGGAGAAAAATCAATATCCATAAGAGAAACATGTTCTTCTAACCTCTTTGCATAAGAATGACTTCAGACTGCTGCAGCCCAGCCTCTGTGCCCACCACTTAAATCTTGATGGAAAAGCAATCAGATCTCTGAACTATTACACGTGAAGTCTTTTGCGAGCGATTTGCCAAAGACTCAATAGAGGATCCCCACGGAGAGTTTGGAACAAGAGAGGTTCTGGGGTGTCTCGGGCCCTGAGACCGTTGACTACCTTGAGCCATCCTGCATAGAAGAAGAACTGGAGGAGGGTGAAGATTGGAATGTACAGATCCAGGTCATGCCCTGCATAGCCTTTGGTGGGATCCAGGAACTGCCGTCCAATCAGGCACGCGAAGAAGAACGTGTAGACGGCGAGAGTGACAACCTGGAGAGAGAAGGCAGAGTGAGGGGGTGATGCTGGCCGCCCACGGGAACTTAGCTGCAAAGTTTGCAGGCGGGTTTAAAAATCACATGCACCGGGCTGGGGACATAGCTTAGTCAAGCACAAGCATGAGGAACTGAGTTCGAGTCCAAGCACCGCCATAAAAAATGCCAGGAATGGTGGCTTGTTCCTATAACCCCAACACTGGGGAAAGGGTGAAGGTAGGCAGATCCTGGGTCCTCACTGACCAGCAAGTTTAAATGAAAGATGGCAAGTTCTAGGTCTCAGTTAGAGATCTTATCTAAAAAAACAAAACAAAACAAACAAACAAAAAGCGGTTGGCCCCTGCGGAAGGATACCCAAGATTGACCTTGGATTCCCATTCTCCTGTCCCTCCCCCACCACGGTCACATGCACGGTGTTTGATACCTGTGTGTAAACCAGTGGAATGCCGACCCAGTCATAACCAAATAAGAGGCTGCACCAAGAGCGGTACCGATTCATCTCCTAAGCCAGGACAGATGAAAACACGCTTTATCATGACAACCCTAGAACTAACCCTTAGCTGGGACTGGAGCCCCCACACACACCAGTGAGCAACGTGTCAGTGAGCTCTGAGGCCAGCTTTGTGAGACTAGTGAGCAGGAGCCCAAGGCTTCTGCAAGAGGAAAGTTCTGAGAATGAAAAAGCCAAACAAAGGATGGAGCCGTTTGCAAAAAGGAAAAAAAAAAATGGTGAGGACATCTGGACCTATTTTTATAAATATTGAGGAGATGGCTGTTACAGGGATAACCCTGCTTTCCTAACCCAAAGTCTTAATGCATAGAGTGGCCCCAAGTGCTCATGGGAGACTAAGAAGCTTCAGTTTAAATAATCACTAGTTATTTTGGTAGAAAAATTTGGCAAGCACTCTTTCCTCTCCTCAAAAACATTCTTACTACAGATATTAGAAAAGATGTATAAATGCATGCTAAATGGCCCTCCCAACAAATTGGAGCTTTAAAATACTCATATTGACGGAAAATCCATCTGTAATAGGAAGGATGGAGAGCCATCGATCCCTTCCCTTATCCATGTAAGACTGGAATCTAATATTACCTCAGTTTGAAAACCATTTACTCATTTCAGCCTCATCCAAGCCTGAGACCGTCAGAGCTGTCGCAGTAGATTATCCAGCTCCTGCATGCATCTCTCTGATGAAGCCTGAGAGCTTTTATTTAGCAAGACACTGTTTTGTTTCCCAGAGCAACTAAAAGGCTGATTTAAACTTAGACTACTCAAAGTTGGTGGATGGGTGGGTTGAGGTTTATTCTTCCCTAGGATTTGATTCTGGGTGTTGGGGTTCAGTTCAGTGGGAGTTTGCTTGTCTAGCATGCAAAAGGCCCTCTGGGTTTCATCCCACATTCCATCATTGAAAAAGAAAAAGAAAAAAGGATTTGATTCTAGAATCCCGAAGCAAGGTACAGCGAATGCCCACAGGCAATGTGTTGCTTCTGTCTCTGGCAACCCTGGCTTTAGCACTTCCCTCTAAGCCTCCGTCAGAGCATGCTGTGCAGACAACAAACACGTAGGAGGAGTCTGGGTCCCTCCTGTCCCCTCTCTGTCCTGTACACTGGGTTTTCACACTGGCTTCCTAGCTCTTTGGAATTTGGAGTGACGGAGCAGAGTTCTCGGCCTGACCTGTTACATGTGGGCTCTGTGTTCTCTCCACATCTCTTCCTCGTGGCTTACTGAACACTTACAGTCATCAGCGATTGCAGATCTACGCTGTCTCTTATTCTGCCTTCATTCCGGGCTTTAGTTGCAAGATTTCCAAACCAAATGAAGGGAACCCAGTATTTCAGATGAGGAGATTTGAGGTGGTCAAATAATTTCCTTTCATCGGCTGTCATAAAACCTTTACACAAAAGAACAATAAGGACGGTGAACACGCTTGGTTAAGTGCTCATGTATATTACCACATTTTTAGTAGCACACTGGGGGAGGGGAGGGGGCTGAGAAGTAGAGTCTTGTCTCCAGTAGTTTAGATTTGTGTTAGAGAAGAGTTCTGCACACGAGTGTATGTGTGTGCATGTACATTCACAGAGCGCACATGCATTATATACTGATAGGTGAAGCATTGCGTCATCTTGGCAAGCTGACAGTGAAGGTAAGGAAGGAGACACATGAGCCTGGGACACGGGTTCTTAAACTCTGAGGCACAGCCCCGTATGCGATCGCAGAGCTGACCGTGGGTCTTGAACTATTTGGCAACAGATTTCTGAACATACAACGACCAAAAATCGATCCAAAGATCAAACACACAATGAATCCGAGGTGATGCTGGCCGCTCACACCCGTGCCGTATTAACTGACTGGCTGCAGCCTGGGTTCTGAATGCATGGCATGTGAACATCGCAGTGAGCATAACTGGTCGCCACACACCATGGGCAGAGGCTGCCTCAAACGCCTCGGTTCAGATCCACGGCTATTCTGTTACAAACGGCAATGCTTTCATGAGCCACATAAAGCACTCTGCTGTTACAGAAACATAATGGTTTAATTACAGGAAACAAAGACTTAATGCTTTCCAGTGATTGCTCCTCAGCGTTTACGTACCCAGTTAGCGTGTTTGAATTGTATTACCTTAGAACATTTGATTTTTAAAGTTGCCATTTGAATTGTTGACTCAAGTTTCATTGTAAAAAAAAAAAAATGTTAAGTGAATTTGCCTTGGGATTAGAACAGAATTTCAGCAATTTCTGAAATGGCCCTGAACATATTTCTGCCATTTTGTGCTATGTGTGTATTGGAAGTGACATTCTTGTTGATGATTACAAAACCAAAACTCGGAAAAAGGTGAGGGTGTCATGCGCTATCGAATATGTGGCCAGTAATTAATTCTGCATGCAAAAGTAAATAAGCACATCATTTCATTTATATGCAACTTTGCTTTCATTAAAAAAATTATTTATATGTGTGTATCTGTGGGTGTGTATAAGTGAGTTTGCATGGTGGCCACAAGAGGGCATCAGGTCCCTTGGAATTGTAATTAACAGTTGTCTGTGAGCCACCCTATGTGGGAGCTGAAATCTGAACTCTGGTCCTCTAATGTTCTTAACCACTAAACCGACTCTATGCTGCTTATCCTCTGACTCTGTGTCCCACATACTGGGATTACAGGCATGTGGCCATTTTTTTGTTTGTTTCTTTATGTGGTGCCTTCTCTTGTCAGCCTCCTGCTTGATCAATACCCCATTCCATGAAGCTTTCCTTCCTTCCTTCCTTCCTTCCTTCCTTCCTTCCTTCCTTCCTTCCTTCCTTCCTTCCTTCCCTCTCCTAGGGATCTCCCCGATTTACAGCTTCCATCTGGCGCCCAGTCTTGACTTGTAGTATAGTGATATCATACATCATGAAAGGCAGAGACTACATTAGTCTTTTTAGTCCCCACAGGAGTTTTCACACATTTTGAAACACGTGTTTATAAAATGCAATTAGCTTGAGTTTGCAGTGACCTCCCTGAGCTTCCAGGTTTTCCTCTGTAACTATGTCTACTTTACAAGGACGGTGCTGGGGATACAGCTCAGCGGAGGAGTGCTTGACTATCATGTGAGAAGCCAGCCCCACACATCAGAGAGGCATGCAAGCAGGGTCTTTCCTGAGATGTGAAACATGCGGGAAGAGTTCAGCACAGTCCGTGCTAAGGAATAATGCCTCACTGACACTCTCCGGTTCCTCCTTCACTCCCTCTCTCCCCACACAAGGGAAGAAGAAGAACAAGGTGTTAGGTTTATTTAATGAAGAAACACTGACAGAGGATTTATTTTTATTATTTTAAATCATGAGTGTGTGCATGTATGTGTGTGGGTGCCCTCGGAAGCCAGAGGCGTTAGAGTGAGTGTTGAGAACTGAGTTGGGTCCTCTGCGAGAGCAGTGTGTGCTCTTAACTGCTGAGCCATCTCTCCAGCTTCATTTCTCAACGTCTGCATATGAAGGAATATACTTATAAAGCTTACATTTTATGCTTGATTTTTACCTTAAAAAAGGTTAATTAATGCGAATGGCATAAATATCCAAAAAGGCCAAATGGAGAAGATAAGCCTGTTTTCTGCCCTAACCATGTTGTTTCTTTCCCTAGAGAAAAAAACACTCGATGAATTTATCCTGTAAGTTTACAGAGAGATCTCATGGGTTTTTCTACAGAGCTAAGGTTAAACACAAATTGTTTTTGTTTATATACATATTTATAATTTACCTCTATTTTATATTTGTATGTTAGAGAGTAAAAATCAGTATATAGAGGGCAGCAGCACTCCTTCAATGACTGCTTCGTAAGAACATTAATTAATATACACATTTCAGAGACAAAATAAGCTAAAATTAATATCTAATAAAATTGATTTTTATAAACAATATACATAAAATAAATATACATTCATATATAGAGAATAATTTATATAGAATGAATAATGTATCTATTCATTCCATAAGTTCTGTGACTCTAGAGAACCCTGACTAATACATTGCATGATCCAGATCATCTGCCTTTAAAAAAAACAGCTTGTAGAACATGATTAAATGTTATTATAAGAAGTTAGCCTTGGGCTATGAATTTCTTTGTTCTGTAACCAGTGAAATCTTCACTTCTCTGTGGAACATGTGTTTTGGAGCAACCTGAATCCATATTCCAAGGCCGTGGTCACTCTTACTTGGCTCAAGAACAAACTGCCTCTTATGCTTTAAGAAACAGTCAAAGGATAAACTTGGCTTTTCTTCACTTGGGGCGTAAAGTTGCCACAGCTGTCCCTCCTTTAGCTGGAAGCCTAGCTTTAACTATCCCATATCAATTGTCCAACACTTAGATTCTTGGGATTTGGAGTGCAATTTTAAAAAAAGACCCCACTTACATACTGGCTACAATTTCTGTAATTTGGCCAAGGAATAACTTTGTGTCTGGTTATTTTTTTATTCAGGACTGTGGATCAAGTTGTGTTAGCAAGTCCTTTCTTGGTGTCTAAGCAGAAAGCAAATATGCAGAGCGAGGGCTTGGTTAGTGCCAATGGTAAAGCTGCAGCTGGGTCCTGCAGTCTGGGAAGGATGGTTATTGATTGGAGAGGTCATCTAGAGGGAAGAAAGCTGGTGATTTTCAAGTTTTCAGCCCAAAGTTATTGATAATGTAATAGGTTCTGGGAAAGACAAATGAAGAGACAGAATTAATGCATTGTCCAGGAGAATACAGTGGAAATTACTCAGTCATTCCCTGCTGGCTCAGACATCTAAAGTAACCCTATTTTGGAAATCAAATTGATGGTCAGTTGAAAGAAAAGCTCTAGAGCAGTGGACAAATCCATTGAGGGGCCATTAGTTATGAAGTGGGGTGTTCTCTTCATCAGCATCTCAGGTTGCTGTAACTAGACACTGATACTTTAAAATTAATTTTTTTTTTGTTACCCTCATCTAAGGCAGATTAATTACAGTTATTGATGTGCTGCATTTTGGCTGGCCTGCCACTACCCCGTGGCCACATGCCTCTCTCCTTCAGGCCCTCCCTCCGGCTTGGCAAAGCCACACTGCATGTACCTAGAATGCCTCTCGACTCTTCATTCTGGCTGGCTCTGCTCTGCCCAGTGATTTTCTTGACGCTTGTCCAGAAAACAGCTTTCTTTAATATGTCTAATCAGGATAAGAGATCCATATACCTAGGCTTAGAGATGGATGTTTCTGCTGATTTACAACCTGAGTTGTAGTTCGATGGAGTGGAAGGCAGATTTGTTATGCCCCTAAACCGAAGGAATAATTCCAGTCGATAGACAGGCGAGATCCCTGTTGTCACAGATCTGCCTACTGTGTACCTAGTTGGCTTGCTTTCCTTCTGACTGAAACGGACATGGGTACCTTTGGCCTCACAGAGAGGCCCTATTAGCAGAAGGACCACAGCTCTGCAGCCCCAAGAACAAAGACAAAATGGGTTTGACACCAGTTCTTCCTCTAAGAGTAAGCTACACAGTCAGCGCCTGAGTCTTGTCGGGGACAGCTTTTTCAAGAGGATCCCAATGTCTCTGGCTTATTTCCAAATGCGTGCAGCAGAGCCACCACTTCGACGGGAGATGCCCTTTAAATATAGTGGGAGAGGCTCAGATAACCCTGTCAGCAGGAGGAATTGGGGAGATGCAAAGCGAGACTGGAGAGGCATATCTTGACAGCACTGCAGGGCAACGCATAGACAATGGGCCACAGCGGGACATGTGTGGTTCAGAACGGAGTTGTCATTTCCTCTACCCTGTGCGTTCTCTGATTATCATACAGGATGGCGTTGTTTCTGTACTCCCATTTAATCCCACTAAAAATGACGCTCAGAAGCTTTTAAAATGATTTCAGAACCCGACAGTGAGTTACAGCCCAAAGGTCAGAGCCCTGGAATAGGTACAGCAGCAGAGGAAAATGAGCACTTGAGGTGGCAATAGTGACTGAGGAGCGTTAGCCCTTTCTGTCCCTGATATGACCGAAACATCCACCTCTCCACCCTGAAGTGGCTTTCCACTCGGCAGGACACTGTATCCTACGCAATGACACACACACAAGAAAGGGCATACACACCATTAGTGCTTGTAGCTCCTTGTCAGGCGGATGCCTCTGAGTTTCTCTTGCCTTGAATGGACAGAATCATGGCAACTTGCAATTGAAGGAATTAATGTGCAGCATTTCCTGAGGTTTGCCACATCTTAGCACGGTACTGAATCCTCGTGTCTGGGAGCAGGAGCTGGGCACCAGTGGTGTTTTTAATTTTTAAAATGTTATTTATTTAGTTATAAGTGTTTTGTATGAACATATGGTTGCACATTTCACAGCATGTGTGTGGAGGTCAAGAGGAGATTCGTGAGAGCCATTTCCCTTCTGACCATGTGAGTGCAAGGGATC